TGCCAGCAGCTCACAAAGTAGAAATTTTGCTCACAAGACTCCACAGCTTAGAGGGAACATTGCTCCTAATCACTGCGCCCGACTGGCTGGAGACCAGGGACCAGGATGCTGGGGAGCAGGGACCACAGGCGGCTTGTGGGCCTTTGCTCAGAGTGTGAATTCCTCTAGGGCAGAGCCCCCAACCCTTTTGAGGTTGCGGGCACCTTTGGAATTCTGACACGGTGTGCTGGGCCCAGCCCCAAAATGGCTGCCGCAGCCTCTACTCTCCACCACGCCGCGAAGATCCCCGTGCTGCGGTGGCAGCTACCGCCAAAGCTACATTTTAAAACATCTGCACAACCAATCAGATCTCCAGTGGACAATCAAAAACCTACCTGCCCTCACCCACTTTCTAAAAACACTTGCCCAGCACCGGGAGAGGTATCAGTGGGCACCAGGGCACCTGTGGGCACCGCACGGAGGACCCTGTTCCAGAGAAACTGGCTGAACCCTGAGCCTCGTTTGCAATGCAGCCATTGGGCCTTCCCATCTGACGGCCCAGAAGTCCCTCCCGCGAAACTGAGATGCGTCCAGGATGGTTGCAGGTATTTGAAGGAGAGGCAAAGGCCCTTCGGCATGAGCTGGGAGAAGCAATCATCATCATCATCCTCTCTTAACTGGGGACCCAAACCAGCTCACATCATTCCCCTCTCCTCCACTTCATCCTCACAACGACCCTGTGTCCAAGACTTCACCTACTTCTACCTCACTTCAAGGGGAAAGTTCAGCAATGGGAAATGATTTGTCAACCCAAGACCCTTCACAAGTCACTCTGCATCTTCCCGCATCCCCTTTAATTCAAACTGATAGGACAAATCCAAGCTTGGAACCTATGGAAATACCATCTACTATATCTCACCCCCCACAAACAAATGGATGTATTATTCATGATACCCACAGAAGTCTTGATTTGATAGAAGAAATGGATTGACTAGCTCCAAGGAATCAAGCCAGATCATTAAACATGGAGTTTTTAAAAATATGCTCAGTCAACATTAAAGGTCTGGGCAACCCAATCAAAAGAAAAAGGGTGTTAAAATACGTGAAACCACTCACAACGACCCTGTGAGGTAGTTTAGCCCGAGAGAGCGTGACTGGCCCGAGGTCACCCGGTGAGTTTTCCACGGCACGAGCGGGGACTCGAACCTGGGCCTCCCAGACCTTAATCCCGACACTCTAACCACTGCACCACACTGGCATCCAGATCCTACCTTTGCAGGCCTGCAGGTTGCAGAAACGCCGCTCAGTGTTGGCCACCAGGATGTCCTGGCACCAATGCCCGCCTTGCCCAGGCGGGTTGTAGGTGCGCAGGCGCCGCTGCTGCCCAGCCCCGCAGGTGCGGGAGCATTCACTCCATGGGGACCAGGGGTTCCAGGTGCAGTTCACGTCCAAGCACGCCTCACCCTGGCACAGCGGGGTGTCTGTGGAAAGGGGGAGAGGGAGAGAGGAGGAGGAGGGGCCGTGGCTCTGAAGGCAGTTTCTGGGAGCCTGGGAAACCCTCCTGCTAGAAGGGAGGGCTCAGGCAGGGCTTTGTTTGTGTGTTTGTTTATGCTTATATTTATACCCCGCCCACTCTGCAAACAGGCTCTGAGCGGCTTACAGAAGACGGCAAAGTATGCCAAATTAGCATAAAACCAGGGCTATTTTTGGGCAGGAACGCACAGGAACGGAGTTCCGGCTGGCTCCCAAGTTGACCACGCCCAGCAGGAACTCATTAGCATAATAGGCTACACCCAACATCAGAAACTCATTAGGATTGGCTACATTAGGGGTGTGTGGCCTAACATGCAAAGGAGAAAGGAGGTCCTGCTACAAAAAAGCCCTGGGTTTTGACAACAAACAAGGTAAACAGAATAACAAGCAAAAGGTGGGTGTGGCTGGATAACCACACTTCTGGTAACACAGGGGTGCAGCCTAATGTGCTAATGAGCTGTGCTGTCAGGGGTGTGGCCCAATAGGCTAATGAGTTCCTGCTGTTGGGTGTGGCCTATTATGCTAATGAGTTCCTGCTGGGCTTTTTCTACAAAAAGAGCCCTGCATAAAACTATAAAACATTAAAATACTATAAAATATTCTTAGCATCACAACAACAACATATACAGTGATTGCTGTATTAACATAGATGGCATGACTTTCCATTCCAGCAATCTCCTAATCTTACAGCCAGTCCCATGGTCTAGATACTAAATGGCGTAATCCATAGTCCATAGTGGGCCAGTTCCATATTCCAGATGTTCAATGGAATCGTTGGTGGCAACAGTGGTGGCGGCGGCTCCTAAGTGAATGCCTGGCGGAAGAGCTCCGTCTTGCAGGCCCTGCGGAACTGGACAAGGTCCCACAGGGCCCGGATCTCTTCCGGGAGCTCCTTCCACCAGGAAAAGAATGCCCAGGAAACACCTGTTGCCCAGTCCCAGGTTTGGGGGGCTGCTTATGCCACACACACACACACATACACACATACACACTAAGTTGCCTAGCACAGAATCAGACCATCAGTCCATCTCAGTCAGTATTGTCTACTCAGACTGGCAGCAGCTCTCCAGGGTCTCAGACAGAGCGTCTTCCCCATCACCCCCTGCCTGGTCCTTTTAACTGGAGAGGCTGCCGGGGATTGAACCTGGGACCTTCTGCATGCCAAGCAGAGGCTCTTCCACTGAGCCACAGCCCCTCCTCAAGCCCTCCCCATGGCCACCTCCTCTAAGCCCTTCTGCCAACCTTCTTCCATGCTTTTCACATTAGAGACGGGCAGGCAAAAGCCGGTGTTCCTCTCGTGTCAAGGGAGGGAGATGCGCACGCATCCCTTCGCACACACTCACATCCAGAGGGAGGCCGGCCTTCTCACCTGTGCACTGGGGCAAATTGCACTCTCGCTCCTGGAATGCGTCTCCCGTGCAGTTGGCCCCTCCGGGGCAGAAGCGCATGCGGGTCTTGAGGGCTGGGAGGTCTGGGTCGGTGCAGGTCTTGGAGCAGGGAGTCCAGGGGGACCAGGGGGTGAAGCGGTCCTCCTCAGAGCCTGGGGAGTGGGGGGCAGAAAGTCACAGGAAGTCGATTTCCTAGCTCTTCACCACCCTGTGGGCTTGATCCCTCCCCAATGGAAGGGGCATCCCTCGGAGCGAAGACTCTGCCGGGCCCCCCCGCGGCTTGAGGAGTTCCCTCCCCCTCACCTGGGGTGCCAGAGACGGGCTCTTTCGTGGGACCGGCCAGAACTGTGGAGGAGAACAGAGCTGACTTACTGGGTGCAGCGCATCGCAAGCAGCCCCTCCTGCCTCCCTCCTGCCCTGCTGCAATCAGCCGTTGGCAGGACCAAGACAACCAGACATACAATATGGGGCAGGGGAGGGACATCCACCTCCTCCTCCTCCTCCCCCCCAGCTACGTTGGGTCCCGGGGGGGGGGAAGGCGGGATGTAAATGAAGTTCATAAACAACCAGACACAATTATAAGGGTGCCTAAAATATACTAGGTGCTGCAAAGATATAGAACAACCAGATTTCCAGCATGCCAGGAATATTGTACGTCGGTCGGACAATCGATGTCTTAAACGAAACAACAATCCACAAGAGTAACACACAATCCCAAGACAGTCTGGTATGAAAAAACATCTACAGATCTGTGCTAGATGCCCACAGAATAATACAGTGACAAAAGAGACTAGATTAAAGCCATAGCAAGATTTAGTGTCTGGGAATGAAAAGCAACCCCTTACTCCTTCACAGGAAAAATACAAAGGTCAATAAAATCACACACAGCCGCCTGCTCCAGACTCTCTCAGTCACTATCCTTCTAACAGTCTTGCATTCTCGAGAGCAGTCTGCTCCAAATTCAGTCTCTCTTCCAACACTTATTCCGGATATTTAAGTGTTTCAGACCTCTGGTCTTTCCTCAGGAACAAACCCTATATAGGAATCTCACATTCAATGTTACCTTCAAGTTGACACTTTCATTGATTTGCTTTTCTCCTCACTTATTTCCAAGCCTGCTGCCGCCGCCGCCAAAGTCAAATGGACCCAGACTATGCCTCTAATGGCACAGAATGATGCTATGGCTTTAATCGAATCTCTTTTGTTATTGTATTATTCTGTGGGCATCTAGCACACATCTGTAGACGTTTTTAAACGAAACAACAGCCTGGCAGGATTCTGTGGGGCCCTGAGAAGGGCTGATAAGATGGCGGCCTCTGCCAGATCGTGGCGGCTTGCTGAGCCTCCAGTCTCTCCTCAGGGGAACTTGAGGGCCAGTGGGAGGAGTGCTGGATTCGAATCCAGTAGGACCTTAAAGGTAAAGGTTCCCTTGCTCGAAGGCCAGTCGAGTCCGACTCTAGGGTTGCGGTGCTCATCTCCGTTTCAAAGCCGAAGAGCCAGCGCTGTCCGGAGACGTTTCCGTGGTCATGTGGCCGGCATGACTAAACTCCGAGGCACACGGAACGCTGTTCCCTTCCCACCAAAGTGGTCCCTATTTATCTACTTGCAATTTCTTGCTTTCGAACTGCTAGGTTGGCAGGAGCTGAGGCCAGAGACGGGAGCTCACTCCATCATGCGGCACTCGGGTCTCGAACTGCTGAACTACCGACCTTCCACAGCCTGCAGTTCAGTGTCTTAACCACTTGAGCCACCGCAGCTCCTTAGTAGCACCTTAGAGAGACCAACATGTTTTTGGGGAGGTGAGATTTCCCAAGTTAAATCTCTCTGCATCAAATATGAGTGGGAATGGAGATCCCAGCGTCTTCCTCTCCCCGTCCGGGAGGGGTGTTGTGAAGAAAGGAGTCAGGATGCAGAGAGACAGGGCAAGAGGCAATCAGAGCGGGGGGGGGGGAATGCTGAGCGGGAGGAGTAACCCAGAAGCACAAACTGTGACCCATTTCGCAAAAGCAGTTGTTCCGCCCTCGGTCTGCCATTTCCCCCGGTTGTACTGCTCAATTTCCCGCTATTTGCTGCGCAGCCACATTTCGACCCACATCTCCCCCCCCCCCAATTTCCCCCATGTCTTCTTGATCCTTATTTTTTAGGATCAAGAAGACGTGGGGGAAATCGGGGGGAGATGCGGGTCGTGGCTACGCAGCAAATAGCAGGAAATCGAGCATTACAACTGGGGGAAACGGCAGACTGAGGGCGGCACAACTGCTTTTGCGAAATCGGCCTGTGTGTGTTTGTGTATGTAGGTGAGAATACAACAAAGGGCACAGCAAAATAGGAGTAGCAAGAATAGTGAACAAGAAATTGCTGCAATAAGGTTCAAATCACTCCAAAATAATGAAATAACCATCAATGAACATATACTGATGTAAAAATCCCAATTTTTTCTTCTTTATTTCATAAGTAAGACGAACAGCTCGAGTTTTCGAAGTTCGTTTCAGGGTCTTTTTCAAAATATCATTGTGTTGGAGTAGTTATTCACAACGTCCAAAAACAGGAATTTCAAGTTCCAAAATGGCTAAGGATAGCTCCTATAGTAGATACTTAAAATCAAGTAGAAACCAGCATGACTTACTAATGTGTTTTCAATAAGTATGAACATGTACAGTAATCCTTTTGTGTATTGTTGACTTTACAAAATTACTGGGTCCATTTGTGATATTTTGTGTATGTAGGTGGACAGCATGGATCCCCTCTACCACGGACCACACATCTTGCTCCGTCTGTGTGGGTCATGCAGACCGGAAGGTCCTGGACCATCGGCGGCAACACTGGGCATCCTTCCTGTACATCAGCCAGCAGGTGGCTGCCACTAGACCAACACAGCAAAAGACAGTCCAGCAAAGCAACTGTATCCCCCCCCGCTCACTGTCCCCCCGCCTAATGCCTCTTACCTTGGCAATCTGGTGTCTGGCAGTACCTAATGTCAACTCGGGGGCCAAGGCACTCCTTCCCCCCACTGGCAGGCGAGGGATTGTTGCATTCGCGTGACCTGGTCATGTTCCCCAGCCCCCCACAGGTCAACGAGCAGGGTGTCCATGGGCTCCATGGGGTGAAGCCGCCATCCACGGGGCAGAGGGAGAAAACACAGGTCAGCTGTCCGTTGTGACAGGAGCTGAGTCGAAGGGAAGAAATCAGGGGGAAACATGAGACAGAGCTTTAGTCCACACGCACTCGGGCTGGGGTGAAATGCGGTTAGTCTTTCAGGGGCCACAAGGCTCTTCTTACGATGTCTCCGTGTCCCAAGGGGGATTCTGTTGCTCTGCAGAGTCTGCTTGGGACAGGGAAGGAAGCACCACTGCAGGGTTCTCCCCCCACTAGAGGGGAAAGAAGAGGGCGACCAGGATGGCGAGAGGGTTGGAATCCAACTCTTACGAGGAAGGGCTGAAGGAGTTGGGTCTGTTTAGCCTGGGGAAGAGAAGGCTTAGGGGGGACATGATTGTGGTCTTCAAGTATCTGAAGGGCTGTCATGTAGAAGAGGGAGCGGATCTGTTCTCTCTTGCTCCGGATTGCAAGACTAGATCTAATGGGTGGAAATTACAAGGGAGTCGTTACCGGCTAACTATCAGGAGAAACTTCCTAACTGTAAGAGTGGCTGAGCAGTGGAACAGTCTGCCTCGGGAGGGGGTGGATGCTCCTTCGCTGGATGTTTTCAAGTGGAGGTTGGACAACCATCTTTCGGGTATGTTGTAGGGCTGCCGCTCGGCTGTGCTCCTGCTGAGTACAGGGGGTTGGACTAGATGACCTCCAAGGTCCCTTCCAACTCCAACATTCTATGAATTTAAAGGCATAGGGTGCACAGCAGCAAGAAGCTCAGTACTGGTCAGTGAGCTGCCAGGGTCGGGCCTTCTGCAATCAGTTTCCTTGCATGGAAGTACCTCCCCTGCATTCCGTTATGAGCATTTTAAAGGAAAAGATGTGTCCTTCCTAATCATGTGTTTTTCCTCTTTAAAGTGCTAATAGAAAGCAGGGAAAGTGGTTGTGAGTATCAAAAGCAAGTGGAAGTGGAAGGAGTAAATCCCTTTCCCAGATTGCCTTGAGGGCAGGCCCACAACAACTGCGGGGCATTTGGGGGCAATGCCCCACCACAGATGAGCAACACCCCCCTCAGGCAAAAAAATCAAGAAAATTAAAGAATGTAAGACGAGGTCGTTCCCAAAATGACCACATGCACAGTCAGGGATGCTTCAATCTCATTTTCTTTTTTCCGGTCAGAAACATAAGTTTTTAAAAACGCAAATAAAATAAAATAAAATTGCAAAATGCAAGAGAGAGAGAGTTGGAGACCCCCACCCTTACACAGAAAAGCAGCCCAGAATCGAGTCTCTCCAATCAAAAGGACTAGAGGTTGCAGCGGAGCCGGAGCTCCTTGTTCTGCTGCTACAAGAAGAGCAGCAGGCATAGTCGGAGTGCCCCCCCTGGATTTCGCCATGCCTCCCCACATTTCTGGCTACACCCCTACTTGAGCGAAACTGAGGGTGCACAAACACACCTTTTGCATTTGACAGAGGGAACAAGATGTGTGATCTTTGCCTTGCCTGCTTGAACCCAAGCCCAAAAGTCTTTGAGGTGGACTCTTCTGCTCTCTTATTTCCGTCGCTTGTGTGCCGCTACTGTGCCTTTTTTTTGTTTTCCACAAGTGTTTTGCTCCATCTAGTGGTCGCTTTGAAATATTGCTGCCGGAGACACAACAATGATATACTGAAGCGACCACTAGAGGGAGCAAAACAGGTGAAAAAGAAAAAGACACAGCACCGGCACATGGACGCAAATGAGAAAAGCCCTGTGAGGTCCATTGTAGAGGATCCAGAGAAAGGTCCAGAGGGGAGTGAGGATGCCAAGCTAGGACCCAAAGGATATGATGTAGCCGAGGAGATCAGCTGCTGTCAAAGCACTGGGAAATGTCCAGCCTCGCTGCCTCTGCACAGGCAGCCTCCACACAAGGGAGCATGTACATATGAAACTGCCTGCTACTGAATTGGACCCCTGGTCCATCAAGGTCAGTACTGTCTACTCAGACCAGCAGTGGCTTTTCTTCAGGGTCTCAGGTGCTGGAAAACCGGTAAAAATAGTAAAAATATTCAGAGTTTGCAATGGATCTTTGTTCACTGGAGAGGAGGCATTTTCTTTCTATGTAAAAATCTTTATTTCTAAAGGGAAGGGTACACGGGAAAATCTATAAAATAACAAACACAAGACTACATGCTTGCAACAACAGACACACTGATAGTAATGGAGATTCTTCCTTTCTTCTTGACCCCTGGAAGGAAATTACCTGAATGCATTGACCAATGATTGTTAGTAAACAGGCTTCAGTTTCCCGGGCTTTCTTTCCTTTGGCTTTCTGCCAGGTTCCCTCCCAGGTCAGTCTAAGCAACAGCAGGCAAGGGGAAGCGCATTAACCCTATAATGACTGGATTTCAGACCTTGCAACACACATATGTCCAACATCAGGTAGGTGCCCCATGTCTCCTATTCCCTGATCCTTTCAACTTGGGGTGGCTTCCAAGGACCGCACCCGGGACCTTCTGCTTGCCAAGCTGATGTTCTAACAGTGAGCCACAGCCCCCTCCCCTCCCCCCCGCATTTAAATTGGGTCCCACACTCACCAGTTGCTGCAGGCAGAATGGATGGTGGTGTTTGGCGGCACCTCCTCCCCAAGGGAAGGCAGCCAACTCTGCAAGGCAGCAGGAGAGCCGCCGGGATGATCGGAGGAGTGGTTCCGGAACATCTTCAGGGCTCCCTCGGTCATGACGCAGGGACATTCCTGGGCCGGAGGGAGGGAACAAGGAGAGGGGCGTGGGTGGGGGTGCTTGGGAACACGGCTGCTTCCCTGTAAGCCCAAGTCCCGAGGAGGACCCAGAGGGGGAGAGCGGACATGGAGCTGAGGCACGAAGTCACCCCCAGGCTGAGAAGAAACCCTGGCCCGCTCTGAATCATCAAACGGATCTCTTGGGAGCACGGAGAGCCAGGTTAGACACGACAGAGGCCACGACGAGCCCTGCCCGTGGCCACCGACACTATCTTAGAGGAGAATCTGGCCGTTTAAAAATCACCACGAGGAGGGCCAGTTGGCAACAGGGGTGGTCCTAGAATTACCAGTTCCACCCTGGGAGACTCCTGGAGATTTGGCAGCGGTGTCTGGGGAGGGTGGCGTTTGGGGAGGTGGGTGAGAGCTCAGCAGAAAGGTGACACCCTAGAGTTCACCCTCCCCAAGCTGCCATTTCCTCCGGGGAAACTGACTGTACTCTGGAGATGCTGTAACCAGGGCTATTTTTGGGCAGGAACGCACAGGAACGGAGTTCCAGCTGGCTCCTGAGTTGGCCACACCCAGCAGGAACTCATTAGCATAACAGGCCAAACCCAACAGCAGAAACTCGTTAGGATTGGCTACATTAGGGGTGTGTGGCCTAACATGCAAAGGAGTCCCTGCAACAAAAAAGGGCCCTGGGTTTTGACAACAAATAAGGTTAACAGAATAAGAAGCAAAAGGTGGGTGTGGCTGGATGACAATACTTCTGTGGCATGGGGTGTGGCCTAATATGCTAATGTGCTGTGCTGTCAGGGTGTGGCCTACTATGCTAATGAGTTTCTGCTGTTGGGTGTGGCCTGGGCTTTTTCTACAAAAAAAGCCCTGGCTGTGACTCAAGGAGAAATCTCGGCCCCACCTGCAGTATGAGGTTGGGTTAGGTCCCACTCCCCCTTTTAACTCGCCAGCCGAGTCAGATACTGGAAGGAACGGGCTCCCCCAGGGAAAACCAAAAGGGTGATGGAGTGATGACCCACTCAGGAGTTCTGAAAAGCCGCCCAGAGAGAGAGAGAGAGGGAGGGAGAGAGAGAGGCCCCCCCACCTGGACACAAGCCCCACGGTGCTGGTAGGTGCCCACTGGGCAGTGGCACCCCTCCTCGCAGCCCTCTGAGAAGCAGTCCATCTGACGGGTGAGGTGGGCGCAGCTGTAGGGACACCCCTCCTCCTTCAGGCACTCCCGGTACAAACGCCCCACTGGACACCCCGCCTCTGGAAAGGGGGAAGAGGGGGACTCTGATTTATTTATTGAATTTGATTTACTAGGCCGTCCTTCCCTACAGGTAGGGCTCGGGGCAGCTTACAACAGTATTATACGGTCACATACAGCCACATTAAAAACAGTCCAATAAATAACAATAAACAACAACAGTATATATACTTATTTATTTATTTAAATTTATAACCCGCCCTCCCCGTGAGCGGGCTCGGGCGGCGTACAGATGGGGGCAATGCAATACAATACAATACTTAAGGTGGCGGAAAATCCTAACTCCCCAGCCTCCCTGGGGGGAGGGGCTATGAGGAATGAGAGTGCCAGAAGAAGTCCCGTCACTGTCCTGAGCCAAAAGCCCGGCAGAACATCTCCGCCTCACATGCCTCACATGTGGAAAGGTAACAGGTTCCGCAGGGCATGAACATCTTTCGGCAGAGCGTTCCACCAGACACTCTCTCGGGCTGGGGACAACCAGCAAGTTCTTATTTCTGGAGCGTAATGCTCTTCCAGGGGCATACTGGGAGAGGCAGTCTCACCACGCCATTTCCGCCTCCTCCTGCGTGCGTCCCCCTCAGTCACAAGGGACCCACGGGAGCCTGCGGCCTCCTCAATCCCAAGTCAGCAACTGGCTGCTCTGAGAAAACGGAGTGGCGTTCCCCAGCTCCACCCACCACAGAGCACTGCTGAGGGACTTCACACCACAAAGAAAAGAACTTTCGTCTCACGCTGTTTTTTGGGATCCACCATCCCTTCTTCCCTAACTAAGTCTGACTAGTTTTGACGGGCAGAAGATGACTGGGAGCTGCAGAGAGACGCTGGGGAAAGGCCTGATCATCATTCCCATTCCAGACCCTCACAGGATGCAAGGCCACGCAAGGACTCTGGCTGCCCGATACAGAACCAGACTGTGCGTCCATCAGCCCCACCTGGTGGCAGCTCTCTGAAGACCCCTGGAGAGGGTTTTCCCCACTGCTGCTGACCGCAATCCCTTCAGTGGGGACGACACAGGCTACCGCTCAGCACCGCTTCCAGGATACAGCAGGATCCGGGCTGTGCCCCAGGGGCCTGCCAGGACAGTGTCTTACAATGGCTAGAGAACTGGGTTCAAGTCCCCAATGCTTTTCAGTAACTCTTTTTTTAAAAAAATACAAAACCCAGAAGCTCTACATATACTGTTACTGCGGCTTACGAAGACGCCACGGATCCAGTCCTTCCGACCACTTGCAGCAGCCAGCACAAAAAGGGAGACAAAGAGAACGGCAAAACGAAAGGCAATGTTTGTGGGGGTAGTGGTTAGAGTGGAGGGACTGAGTTTTGGAAGACCTGGGTTCAAGCCCCCAGCGTGCCACGAAAGATGACCTTGAGCCAGTCAAGCACACACACAAGCACACGCACTGCTTAGGCTACCTTGTCAGGCTGTTGTCCTAAAACTGTAGGGGGGCAGTTAATTTCTGAGCGCTGTCAGAGATATGGAGGGAAGCACCGGGCCATGCAAGCAGAATTGCACTCAATCAACGCACACTCCCACTTGCACATCACTGGATCCAAACCCCGGTCTATAACTTGCGTACATAATTCTATTAGCTGCCAAAGTCTGAGTGTCGGGGTGTGTGTGTGTGTGACTTACCCAGGCACACCTGTGTGTTGCATGTCTTGCTCTGCGTGGCCAAGCCATGGCACTCTGGCTGGCGACACCGGTGGCTGCGCACTTGCTCTCCCCCACCGCAGGACACGGTGCAGGGTGCCCACGGGGACCACTCCTCCCAGGCCTCCTCCTCCTCCTCCTCTGCGAGGCACAGGGAAGAAAGCGGTCAGGCAGAGAATGCCCCCCCCGCCCTCTCCCTCCTCGGCCGGATGCCAATTCACCTCTTCGAGGTATTTATCCCACAGGGAGGAAGTGTGCAGGCACCACATGGGGGCCCATGGAAATGGGGGGGGCAATGCTCCCTCTGAGCTATGGAGTCCTGTGAGCAAAAATTCTACTTTGTGAGCTACCGGTATTAAAATTGTGGCCGAGCGATTTGGCTGCTGCATAAATCAGTTTGCTCTGGAGCCCTCCTTCCTGAGCCGAGACAAAAATGTGTGAGCCGGAGGCTAAAAAACGGTGAGCTGGCTCACGCTAACTCACCTTAGAGGGAACACTGCTGGGGGGGGGAGGAATCCTCACCAGACAAAAGCTACAGGGTTCTCCCCCCTCCCAGTTTGCATCAGCCCCTCGCTTAACTTGAGGCCCTTTCAGAGGCTGAAGGAAACTCCAGGGAGGGATTCCGTCACAATCTCTTGTTCTCCCATGAGGCTGGCCCTCAGAACCAGGCCTCTGACCAAGGGGAATGATCATCAATCCAAGCCATGTCCCCCCCCCCACTGCCCCGGCATCTGATCGTGCCGGGGAGGAAGCCCAATAAATAAATAAATAAACTGCTGCGCTGAAGGTGAGCTACCGCCAGGGGGTGCTGCTGTGCCGCACGGAGAGGGCAAGAGTGCCGAAAAAGCCCCCCCCCCCCGGGGGGGGGGGTCTTCCCTCTCGCCCCCTCCTCACCTGGGCAGTCCTGCCGGTGTGCGCAGGGTCTTTGCTGCTCCCTGCTGCCCACGCACCCATGGCCTCCATTCTGGGGGGCTGGGTTGTCACACTGGCGGAAGCGGAACTGGACTCCCTCCCCACAGCTCTGCGTGCAGGGTGACCACGGCCCCCAGGTGCTCCAGCCGCCGTGCAGGTGACACGAGGGGTCCACGTGGCACCGCAGGCGTCCGGCCACGCAAGTGCTGGGCAAGGGAATGGGAGAGGGGGAGGAGGGTGAATGCCGGCACTTTTAACATTCATCAATGCACACACTGAGGAAGAAGAGGAAGAAGAGGAAGAAGAAGAGGAGGAGGAGGAGATTGGATTTATACCCCTTGCCCTTCACTTGGAGTCTCAGAGCGGCTCACAAACTCCTTTCCCTTCCCCTCCCCACAACAGACAGACACCCTGGGAGGGAGGTGGGGCTGAGAGAGCTCTGGCAGAAACGGCTCTTTTTCAAGGACAGCTCTGACAGAACTATCACTTGGAGACTCAGAGCGGCTCACAAACTCCTTTCCCTTCCCCTCCCCACAACAGACAGACACCCTGGGAGGGAGGTGGGGCTGAGAGAGCTCTGGCAGAAACGGCTCTTTTTCAAGGACAGCTCTGACAGAACTACGGCTTGCCCAAGGTCACACCAGCCAGGTGCAACTGAAGGAGGAGTGGGGAATCAAACCCGGCTCTCCCAGATTAGAACTTTGCTGCTTGAAAGCTTATGCTCTGGAAATCTTTTTGGCCTGTAAGGGGCTCCCGAACGCAAACCTGGCTCTTCTGCTGCAGACCAACATGGCTGCCCTCCTGACGGGATCTGAGGGGCAAGGAAGACCCAAGAAACGGCCTGCGAGTAGCAGGGAGGATCTTGGCAGTGGAGGAGCCGCTGACGTGCGGCTGTGCAGTTGGGGAAGGACAAGGGGGCCTTGAGGAGGGATCTGAAAGAGGGGAAGGACAGTGAAGTAGGCAAGGACCGGCAAAGATGGGGGGGGGGAGCTGGGGGGCAGTTCTAGGCACCGAAAACAGTGGAACTGGAATAGGGAGCTCCGGAAGCCAGAGGGGAAAAAGGAGGCAGGAGAGGGAACTTCTTGGCTGTTATGTATTGGGACTGAATCATTCCTGATTGAATCACCCCAGAGACTGGCTGAAGGGGAAGGACAGTGAAGTAGGCAAGGACTGGCAATGGGGGGGGGGCTGGGGGGCAGCTCTAGGCACAGGAAATAGTGCAACTGGAATAGGGAGCTCCGGAAGGCAGAGGGGAAAAAGGAGGCAGCAGAGGGAACTTCTTGGCTGTTATGTATTGGGACTGAATCATTCCTGATTGAATCACCCCAGAGACTGGCTGAGCTTGGAGCACAAGAACAATAGCCTGCCAGGATTCTGAAAGTAACCAATCAAGTAGTAATGTTATGTAAACAGCCTATCACTGGGAGTGGGGTGTGTTTGGGTGTGGCCATCACATGCTATTTAACAGAGCTGAGGCTCTGGAGTCTTGTCTTGCTGTTGCTGAAATAACTAATAAAGTTGAGCTGATCACTAGGCCTGTGGTCTATTCATCCATGGAACCCACTACTTAACAGCGGCTCTACCAGTGGCTGGGTGCCAGAGAAGGAGCAGAGAGTCTGGCCGGAAACGAGATTCTAAGGAGGGCTCTGGATGCTCAGCACCTGGAGCTACGGGCTTGGGTTCGGATGCCGACTCTCCAGCGCATTTCGAAAATGTGATTAAACTTGTGTGAAATATGACAACCAAATGTACGCGATATCTTGAAAAAGATCACGATAAGTAAATGAAAGAATTGCACCGTCTGGGATTGGTGGGTTCTTCCTGTTGGGCATTGTGGAAGTGTGTGTGTGTGTGTGGAGAATGTAGAACCTTCGCCTGGGAGGCCCCTTCTCTTTGGAGGCGCCCCCGGCTTGGATGGCGCACACTCACCAGTTCTGGCAAGGCCCATAGATGTCCTCCCCTGGCTCGGCGTACTCCCAGGGAGCCAGGCCCGACCAGGAAGAAAGGTTGCGTCCCTCGGGGGCACCTGTGGGGAAGGGAGGAGGCGAGTCTGGACAAATTCCTCTTTCCCCTTGAGCTGCTCCACACACACCCCCCCACACACACACCCTGTCACCAGTCTCCACTGCCTCCCAAGGACAGTTCGTATCCAATGCTCCCTCTAAGCTGTGGGGTCTTATGAGCAAAAATGCTACTTTGTGAGCTACTGGCGCTAAAGCTGTGAGCTACTGGCGCTAAAGCTGGCTACTGCACAGGGGTCATTTCCTGCAGAAGCGCACAGGAGCGGAGCTCCGGCAGTAAAGAGCCCAGGGGGTGGGCACATGCAACAAGCCCCACCCCCTGCTCCCAGCAGCCCTGGGCCACAAAGAGAAAGAAGCAGCCAGAGAAGTTGCAGAGCCCCTCCCCCGATAGCAATCCAAAACAGTCCAGTGGCACCTTTAAGGCCAAGGTTTATTCAGGTACAAGTTCTCCCTCCTCTGCGAGGGCAGATCTGCGTGTGTCCCCCCCATAGCTAGCAGTAAAAAAGAGTCCAGTGGAGCCTGAGCGGTGGGTGTTGCCTTCTGACACACTTCCGGCGATGTCAGGGTGTGTGGCATATGCACATGAGTTATGTGAATGAGTTATGCAAATGAGCTCCTGCTCCTCTTTTTCTGCGAAATGACCCCTGCTACTACATGAATTAGTTTGCTCTGGAGCCATCCTTCCTGAGCCGAGACAAAAAATGTGTGAGCCGGAGGCTAAAAGACTGTGAGCCAGTTCACACTAGCTCAGCTTAGAGGGGAACACTGTTCGTATCTGACCAGGGGAGCGTTGACTCTCGGAAGCTCATCCCCAGAGACTCTTGCTGGTCTCTAAGGGGCTCGTGGACAGGAAACGATGAGGGGTTCTACCGCAGACCAACAGGGCTGCCCCTCTGAAGCGAAGAAGAGTTCGGGGCATTTCGTGTCCCCAAGGAAAGGCGCTTCTGCACCTTCCCGGGGATGCCGCTGCCCACAGGCCTTAACCGGGCCCAGGAGGGGATGCCAGCCCCCTCCCACACCACTGATGGCTGGCAGAAGCCGAAGCCCATGTGGTGTTGGTGCCCTCTGCCCTGTGCTGCCCCACATGGAAGCTTGGGTGGGTTAGTTGGAGAACTGGTCCTGGTCCCCTTGCACTGTGAGCCGAAATGCGTCAGGTCATAACACTGTTCTCTTTTGTGTGTATTTGTAACTTTGGCCTCGGTCACATGGGCCAGATAACACCGGAGGGGGGCGGCGGAGGCATGGCTGTTTGCCCCAGAGCAAAATAAAGCACGGGAGCCGATCACACGGTCCCCCGAGTCTTCCCGCTTAGGCTGTTAGCTGGCAATCACACGGCAATGCTGGAGCGTGGCAAAGAAGCGGTGCGGCAAGTGTTTTGCGTTTGTGTGCACCCGTGGAGCAGCACTGCTTTGAGTTACGTGTTTGTGCACATGCGCTTACGGAAAACATCCGGTTTGCAACGGGACGTGGATGGGCGCCGGATGCCACGGGATACTAGCGCTCCCGCGATCAGACGCCTGCCCCTGCCTCGCGTTTTCCGGATATTAGTGCACTTTCCAAGGTACTTTTTTACTGCGCATCTTCGGCGGGATGCCACGGGTTGGCCACGGGTGTGCTACGCTTCCCAGATGTTCCGGTGTGATTGCACCCTGATAATCCGCCTGACATGCGTGCCTTTAGCGCGGCAAATCCTTCGTGTGAATGGGGCCTTTGTACATTTTATGAGGCTTTATTTAGGCCCCGACTAGGTTTGCATATGTCTTTGTAATAAACACTCTTTTGTACACTTACTTCTGTTTTTACTTTTGGCCCTCAGTTAGTTTTCTGAACTTCCTTTGGAGGCCTGTGCTTTATTGGTTTAGCTCCCCCCCCTCTTTTTTTGGGAGTCATCATCCCCCAGAGGAGTCAAGCCCGTCAGAGTCGCAGCTCGGAGACCATCACAGGGCCAGCCCACTCAGCCCAGCTGGGCCTGGCTCACTCCCCGGTGCTCGAACAAGGGGGCACAGGAGCCCCATGGCAAGCATCTCGGGGGCCCCTCATCTACCGGGGAAGACTTACCCAACCAGCTGGCACGGTACTTGCAGCGGCACTGAGCGGGCCAGATGCACGCGCCATCCTGGAGCAGCTGCCCCTCTGGGCAGGCACACACCGGCTGGCACTGCAGGCTCTCCAGGCAGGTGGTGTCGGGGTGCAGGTCCTCGCAGGTGCGCGGGCAGGGCTTGCCGCACGGGAAGGACACCTGGCCTCCGCCGCAGTCTGGGGAGACCGGAGAAGTCCCTGAGTTCAGCTGGCTCGTCTTGCCACGGAGTCCCCCCCCCTCGGCCAAGGTCCGCACCACCTCCCCGAACCAGAGGCAAAGAGCTCAGCTGTCTCCTTCAGAGAGTTGCCCAGTTTGAGTTTAAATCTATGCCGCCCAACGGGGCCAGTTCCAGATCTGGGGGCTGGGCAGCGTTCCCTTTCTGACCACTCACCCACGTGTCTCATACCACCTGTCCGTCTGTGCAGCCTTCCCCTGTGCAGCCTTCCCCTGGTCCATCGGCTCGCCCACTGCCCACGCTCACGGCCACCTGCACTGCCCACAGCCCTTTCCCTGAGGGCACTGGGAAGGGTGCACAGCTGGGAGCACGGGGGGGGGGCAGCCAGGGCACGTTGGGGGAGGTGGGTGGCAGCAGGGGGCCCTGACAGACGCTCCCTGCCCTGCCCACTGCCCCACCGGAGGGCACACCGATGCCGGCCCTGCTCCCCAGAGCCAAGCCCCCCACAGCCTCACCGGGGCCGAAAGGGATGCTCGCACCACACAACATCCCTGCCCAGAAGGTGCCTCCGTGTCGGCCCTTGTCAGGAAAGCCCTGGGTGGGCTCCGGCTGTTTCCTGGCACGAGACCCAGAAGCCCCTGCTTTTAAAGGGGCCCGTCCCCAGCAATGCTCCCTCTAAGCTGTGGAGTCCTGTGAGCAAAAATTCTCCTTTGTGAGCTACTGGCATTAAAGTTCTGAGCGAGTCACTTGGCCACTGCATAAACTACTTTGCTCGGGAGCCCTCCTTCTTGAGCTAAGACAAAAACATGTGAGCCGGAGGCTAAAGAACTGTGAGCCGGCTCACACTAACTCAGAGCTGAGAGGGAACCCTGGTCCCCAGGACACGGTGCTCCTTCTGAGCCGGACGGAGGGGCCTCACCCTTTAAGGTGGACCCAAGTCACCTGCCTCTGATCTGGCTCAAAGGGGGGGGGGACATGGGGGGGGGCTGCAAGTGGAGGGTTCATCCAGACTGCTGGAGGGGGCAGAGCTAAGCTTGGCTGTCGGGTGGCCGGAGGCAGCCAGCTGCTGTGAGCCCCGTCAGCAGTGCTGTCCTTTCCCTTTCCCAGCCCAGCCCCACCGTGTGCTGCCAGGGCGGGGAGCAGGGGAGATGGATCCCCAGGCTCCGACGGCCAGCAGGGTGTCCTTTGGCACATGCACAAGAGAGCCAAGCGGGAAGACCGGGGTGTGTGTGTATGTGTGTGTGTGTAGCAGAAAGAGGAGGGGGAACAGGGGTGCAGGGACTCCCCTCTCCCCACCCTGCTTGCTGTGGCGGTATTCATCCCTCCCACAGATGTACTCTTTAGCCCACGGTGGAAACCTGACAGGCAGCAGCAAAGAATGACGTGCGTGTAGGACTGGCACATGTCCGTGTAGGGTGTCATCCTCCAGGGGAGGCCTGGAGGCCTCCTGAAATGACAACTGATCTGCAGACTGCAGACATCATCTCCCCTGGAGAAAATGGCAACTTCAGAGGTCAGGACTGCTACTGGTGATGAATCCTGTCCCCAAATTCCCCCCTTCACAGGTACCACGGGGCCAAGATAAAATTCAGGCTCCAAAGCTGAAACTCTACACCTGAGCATCTTGCCAAATTCCGCTTTGCCAAACTTCATTTCCATTCCAGGCTAGATCCGGGATGGTGCCTGGGGGGGGGCAAAGTGCTGCTCCAGGCAGCCCCCCCGGCCCCCCACCCACCCCACGAGCAGCAGCGGGGAGGCCCTTCTCGGCACCTTCACACACGGTGGCTCCATCGTGGCACGGGCGGCTCTGCCGGGCCTCCTCTGGGCAGGGCAGGCCCCCAAAGCGGGCAGGCGGGTTGGTGCACTCCCTGCTCCGCACGGACTCCCCCAGGCAGGCGTCGCAGGCGGTCCAGGGGCTCCACGAACTCCAGCCCCCGTCCACTGCGGGAGCAAGAAAGACAGAGGACAGGCCTGTGGGGGGTGGGAACATCCTGGCTGGAGTCAGTGGGGCAGAGGGGGGAGGAGGAGGGGACAGACTACACCCAGGGCCCTTTCAGCTTCAGTTCGGCTGCGGTGGGGGGGGGCATGACAGCTGAAGCAGTTTAAAACCCAAAGAAACAGTTTAAAACCCAAAGAAAGGCGTCAGGAGGGAACGTGTCTTTGGATGGCCAAACAAACCCTTTTTCCTAGGGATATTGGCCTCTGATGGTCTTTCTTCATTTCTTCAAAGACCTTCTGGGAGCTTCTCAAAGCTCCACTGCTGGCCCACCGTCAAGCACCTTTCCCTGCCCCCCCCCTTCCCGGTTTAAAAATAGGTTCAAATGGAAGAAGAAGAGGAGGAGGAGGAGGAGGAGATTGGATTTATCCCCCGCCCTTCACTACCCAAGGGAGTCTCAGAGTGGCTGCCAAACTCCTCTCCCTTCCCCTCCCCACAACAGACACCCTGTGAGGTAAAAGAAGAAGAAGAAGAGATTGGATTTATACCCCGCCCTTCACTACCCAGTGAGAGAGCTCTGGCAGAAACGGCTCTTTTTCAAGGACAGCTCTGACAGAACTTGTGACTGACCCAAGGTCATCCAGCAGGTGCAAGTGGTGGAGTGGGGAATCAAACCCCGTTCTCCCAGATGAGAGTCCGCACACTTCACCACTATACCAAACTGGCTCTTGACAGGGGAGTCCCCCTCCCTCTCTCCCTCCCTTAGGTACACTATATGGATGTCTGCAAACCAGACGGAAACAGGGAACTACCCCTCTGCTGAAGCAACTACAGGAGGAGGACTTGGCCCCTTGGAGTCAGATGCTGGACCCCAAGAGCCCCCGGCCTCCCCTTGGGCCCTGACGGGCTGGTACCTGGACAGAAAGTGGCCGCAGGGCACTCCTTCCTCTCGAGCTGCACTCCGCTGCCGCCGTGATACTCTTGCATCCCTTCACACTCGGGGCCCCCATTCTGGGGCCTGGGGCAGCTGCAGGTACGGTAGCGGGTCACCATCTCACTGCCGCATGTCCTAGAGCAGGGGCTCCAAGGGGACCAGTCGCACCAGCTTCCCGGAGCTGGGGCAGAGAAGGGGGAGGGTCAGAGGGTGACTTTTTGCTGGGGGGGGGGTGCCGGATCCCTCCACCACAGTGCTCTCGACATGGGGGGGGGGCACCTTCCCTGAGGAAATGTAAGCAGTTGCTGGGAAGACTTGGGAAGCCTCACTCCTTGGTCTCCCACAACAGACCTATCTAAGGGCAGCTGGCTTTCTCAGGTGGGGCTCTTGCTGACATTCCCTCCGGTAGGGCAGGGTGGCATCGTTTTTGCAAGATTTATGCAAGATTTATGATTTGACCCGTTGAGCCAGCAACATTTATGATTTGGCCCATTCAGGACAAGAACAAGGCAGAAAAGCATGACATGAGCAAGAAAACCCGTGATAAAAAACGGTACCGCATCAAACAGGCTTTCTGACAGTGCAGTGAAATCACAACACCTGCAAAAAGGTCTACGGCTGCTTCTACAAAACTCAAGATTATTTGGAAGTAGGTCTCCTGTATTCCACTGGAGTAGAAAAGAACAAGAGTCCAGGAGCACCTTAAAAGCTGTTTGTGGCAGGGGTGGAGCTTTGGAGCTTTGGTGGCTCACAAAAGCGCCTCCCCTGCCACAAATGGTTAGTCCCTTCATGCTTTCAAAAGCCCCTCCCCTGCCACCCATTTGGTTAGTCTTCCAGGTGCTCCTGGGCTCTGGCTCTTTTCTCCTGCTAGAGAGAGACTGACACGGCCCCCTGTCATGATCTGTCTGAAGAAGCGAGCAGAGCCTCCTGAAAGCTCCTCCCCGGCCACATATTTTGTGAGTCTTTCAGGTGCTCCTGGGCTCTGGCTCTTTTCCACTGCTACAGACAGACTGACACAACGACCCACCTTGATCTGTATTTGACTATATACCTCTTCTTAGGGGTCACTTCGTAGAAAAAGAGGGGCAGGAGCTCATTAGCATAACTCATTTGCATAACTCATTTGCATATGCCACACCCCCTGACATCCCCGGAAGTGT